ATCGTCGTCGTCGTCGTCGTCCTCCCCCCCCCCTCTTTCTCCTGTCCCCCTTCTCCTCCTCCTCCTCTTTCTCCTCCTGATGGGGACTCACTCACTCTTAGCCGCATCAGGCCTCCAAGTCCCAGTGGTCCTCCCGCCCGCCCTGGCCTTCTGTAGCCTAGGGTGCGGGACTTTCGTGTTGCATTCCAGCTATTGGGTCTTTATATTTCTTTTTCTTTCTTTGTGTGTGTGTGTGTGTGTGTGTTTCTTTTGTATCGGTACCAGGGATTGAACTCAAGACCACAGCCACGCAAGGCAGGCGCTTATCCCGCAGAGCTAAATCCTCAGCCCCTGGCTATTAGTTCTTGACGATGTTGTTTCTTCTGCAGTTGGTGTTTCAGTCAAAGTGTCTTCTTGGCAGCTGCCTATTACAGCAGAGAACTGTATTCTTTCAGGAAAGCTGCTCGTGGCCTACAGCTGGGCTTTTGTAGAGACGGATGTTCCCCGCGAGCGAGGCATGGACTCACTTTGACAAACTATCCCCTTGTTTTTTCTTGAGCCTCCAGTGTCATGTCTGGGTGCATACCATGATAGCAGGTCCTTACAAAGAAACTCCACGGGCTGAGGATTTAGCTCTGGCATAAGCCCCTGCCTTTCAAGCAAGCAGTCGTGAGTTCGATTCCCGGTATGGATAAAAAAGAAAAAGACAAAAACAAAAAAAAAGGTAACAAAGAAAGTCTGGTGTCACGAGTGTCTAGTACACTCTGGATCCCGGGAAGAGGCTCACACACACACACACCAGATCGGGACACGAGGGGTGCAGCGCACAGAGAAGAAGCAGCAGAGAGAAACAGCAATTGCAACTGCACACTAAGTCTTTATTCCAGGGATCCTATATAGTAAAACCAGGTCAGCTCACAGAGTAAAGGCAATTATCTTGAAAAAGCACTCTTTGTTACAAGATTTGTGACCAACTACAATGTTTATCTCTACTCTCTAAGTTAAACAAGCAAAAACAGTTCTTCTAACCACACTAACCCAGGAGGAATCCAATTAGCCCAAGAATGCACTACATTAGCTCAAGAATGCTCTTAATTATGTTTGTTCTTTCTAGCCACCTGAAGGTCAGCCACCTCCTCATGACTCTGCAAACAAAGCCAAGTCACACAGTATGAGTTAGAGGAGGGAACTTGTTCCCACACTGGGGTCGGGCCTTCCGTCTCTGTCCTGCATACCGGGGGCTATTGTTTATTGCAGGTCACGAGGGGGCCAGAGCCTCAGAGTAACTCTTCATCCTCCACAGTCTGGCATGATACAATGTGTTAGATAACAATTAATACATGAGGATGTATTTTGTTGCCAATCTGTCTTTCCTATCAATAAAGATCCATAAAGATCATAAACAGATGTCTTTACTCTTATATACCTCTCCCTCTGTAACACTACTTATTTTTCCTCCCCCAACTCACTGCAGATGTCTATTTTGCAGCTATCCTGCACGAATAGGCAAGCTAGCTTCCATCAAGTTTGTTGTACTCTCCCAGCCCTGTCATTTATAATAAGTTTAGAAATAGGAGAATTGTGGCCTCTACCTGACCATGTAATGTTAGATCCGGCTTCTGAGGTAATTGTATTGTTAGTACAGCCGGAAACGTAAATATCACACCAATCTTGACTTTTACCATAAGTAAACTTCTGGTACACAAGTGTATAAAGAAATAATTCAAATTGTGTATAATCCTCCCATGGTATGTGTTTCTGCAAGATTTCCAACAGCCCAGATCACCTTCCTTGAAATTAGGAGCACGAGCTACTGGAATATGGATAGGAATGTTAGGTTTGAATTCTCTAACAAGGTTACCACCTGAAGGAATGGAAATCAGTAAGGCAATAGAAATCAGTAAGGCAAAGCTTTCTTTTGACAGCTTTATCTTCCAAACCTGATTTACAGCAAACATACATAGGTTAGAGTCTTGCCATAGATGAGTTGCACATAAAGGAGGATATACAAAATGAGAGGTAATGTTTACTTTAGCTCATTCTTGTAGATGCTTAAAAATATGGGGGCCTGGCAGAACAGTAAATGTAGGATTTTTGCTTTCTGTAGCATGGAAAATTTCTGGTGACTTGTTCATACAAGTTAAGGGTCTGAATAGAGGTATATTAGGTAGGTAAGCCTGGTACTCCTGTCTCTGAACAAAGGGAATCAAAGGAATAATGTTGTAGTTGTTAGGATAACAAACACTGTAAGGAAAAAACTGTCAGGTGATTGAACCAAACCTTGGCTGTTAATTAGATGGCAAGTTCCATGAATGGTCTGCAGCAGGGCCTTCCAAGACAGTAGGCGATGCGCTGTCTGGTTCATTGCTCGAGATCTTGACACATCCTGCAGGTGGGTGAGATTCTGGCCTGCAACAGCTCTGATGATCATAATGTCTGCCAATAATCTGTGGAAATAGAATATTCTGGGTCCCAATTTAAAAGTGATACCAGACTACTCCAGACACCTGATTGGAGGTTATGCCAAGGTACAGGGTGCAATGACTTCATAGAATGGTCAGATTTTTGTCCCCAGTGTATCACATCTATCAGCAAATCAAAATCAATGGTAGAGTTCAAAAATTTAAAGCATTTGTAGTAAAATCTAAGTAGATTTGAGGAGAATTTTGACCCTGTATGCCCCCTTGTTTTTGTTTGATTGACATTTTAATTTAAAATGAGTACACTCAATTATTGCCTGAACTTTGAGATTATAGGGTATCCTTGTGAAGTGCTTCATATTGCAGTTATCAGGAAAACACTGAAAAGGTTTGGTAATATAACTAGGACCAATGTTCAATTTCATTGTTAATGATACCCTTAAGTTAGCAAAAACTGATACACAATGAGGTATGACTGCATGTTTATTGTGTTTACTTGAATGACAGGTAGCATGGGAGCTATCTATAGAGGCACAAATACATTTAAGTGTGTTATTACTTATGAGGTAGAACAGGTTAGCTGTAAAATCTCTGTGATTATAACTCTGTTAGGGACAGGCCCAGAAATATGTTTATAGGTAAAATACAATAACACAATTTGTCCCACCTGTGCTATGGTAATTTTAAATGTCTTTAATAAAGGTTTGGAAATATAATGAAAAAATGTATAGGTTTGTCTTGAATTATTAAAAATGGAAGCCAGATTTTACTAAATCATCTGTATTATAATCACCAAATGATAGTGAATTTGGGGGATTAAAATAGGTTATAATAAGACCAGTAAGGAATGGAGCAGTTGTAATGAATATATCCCATAGTACTTTTAAAATTACTAGTAATAGTGTGGGCTTGAATTAACAACCTTGGTGTTGTTTATTTAAAGATGTTAATAAGATCTCCAACCATTTTTATGTATAAGTCTCAAAGGTTTTTATCATACATCCAACTTTACTTTATGTTGGTTAACAAGTGATGTTGCTATGCCTGTCTGTCTATGAAGGCCAACATAAGATAGCTGCTGTAACTGAGGAGAGCCTGAACCTAGCAATGCCAGAGAGGCAGGACTCAGCAACCAAATCTGCCCCCATGATTGGCTGTTTACTACGGTGACATCAGTTCTCATCCCCAGCCATACAGTAAGAGCTTTATCAATGAATTTATGCGTACTTGAATGAAGTGACAAATCCTGGGAAAAACAAGGTTTATTGCTTAAAGGTTTGTTTTTAACAGTTTCATTTACATTGTCAAAGGCAGGAGTGGCAAGTTTTTGTGTGGGGTTTTTTTTGTTGTTGTTTGGGTTTTTTTGTCTTTTTCCTTTTTATCGGTACCGGGGATCGAACTCACGATGGCCTGCTTGCAAGGCAGGCGCTTATGCCGCTGAGCTAAATCCCCAGCCCCAGGATAAAACTATCTTAATCGGGTTTGAATTATTGGAGTATCGGCTCAGAGGCCTCTTACTCTTATTGAGGCATTTTGTTTTGGCACGTGATTTAGTTTTTTGTAGGAGTGTGCTGTTTTTATGAAATTTAGATTTACAATGTTTTTTCAAGTGAAACCCTTTCATACAACGTGAACATAGGGTACGTGGTAAATCAGGGTTTGGTTTGTGACTAACCTGTGTATCTATAGGTGCTACTGTCTTTCGAATATCAGGGCAATGCCTCTGGATATGACCCTGTTTGCCACAATTAAAGCATGTAATAACATTTAATCTATCAGTGAGATGTTGGGTATAACCTGTGCTATAAGCACAGAAGTATGAGTGGGAGATCTAACATTTTGGCACGTTTGAATGTAAGTGGATAACTCTTTAGTGTGTAAGACTGATATCAGTGCTCTCTTACAGTCTTCATTGGCATTGTCATATGCTAATTGACAAAGGATAATTTTAGCGGCCTCTTTATGAGAGATGTCTATGTATTGCTTTTTGTAGTCTAGCTATAAACTGTGTGTAAGTCTCTGTAGGGCCTTGTAAAATCCAGGTAAATGATTTATTAGGTGTACCATCCTCTGGGATGGAAAGCCATGCACGATGTAGCAGTTCTTTACATTGCATGAAAAGAAGAGACAGGGCACGTGCCTGGCTTTTTACATCAGCATATTTGCTTGTACCAGATAGCATTTCTAGTGTTATAACCTGAATGCTTTTATGTTCACTGTTTTGGTTACTCTTTGCTTGTTTTGAAATCAGTGTCCTTAATTGTAATTTGAAATGTAAGAATTGTGCCGGTAAAAGACATGTGTGAGCTACATGTGTGGGTCACGTTGCCTGGCACCATTTGAAAACCTTGAATTACGTTGTCTAAACGTCTTATAGTATAAGGACCTTGAACCCATTATCGAGGACACTCTGTTGAGCTATTTGAGGAGCAGGAAATTAAAAGCAGTGTGTGTCCCAAGTTTTCTCCTGGGATTATCTGGATTATTGTTTTTAGATCCTGGAAAACACATAGCCTGAGCACAAATCATGTCACGGTTCCTGGGTTTTTTTTTTTTTTTTTTTTTTTTTTTTTTTTTTTTTTTTTTTGTGAATGGGAAAGCCGGAAGTGTGCTGTGATGTGTCTGTACAGCAGCCGCCTCTGAGTTGGGTGTGGCTAGTGAAGTCGCATATGTACACACTTTGGAAATATTTTGTGCTTTTTGACGAATATCTTTGTGAATATCTTGTAACAATGAACTCACTTGATTGCATTTTTAAAAATTTTATTGAAAGAAAGACTAAACAAAACAGAAAATGGGTAGAAATAATATATATGTTCAAAGAAAAAATAAACAGTAAGAAATCACTAGTTGATGTTTACATACTGTCCTCTTACAAATAGTTGTTCAAGATACAAAAGTGGAACATATAAATTGGGAATTCAAACAGCGAGACTGCAAACAGTTCTGTTCAACAATCCAACAAAACTTAGTAATATGGTTATCAATCCTATACACTTAAACATACATGCAGTTATCCATATCTTCATTTATGTTGAGATTAAACTAAAGCAGGCTAAAATCATTCTGAACAAAGAATGAGAGTATTGCTGGATTTCACATCATGACACTCCAGGATCAGTATTATGTACTGTAGTGTCTTTAAAATTTTTTTTATTTAAAGAAAGACTAAACAAAACAGAAAACAGGTAATAATAATACATACTTTCAAAGAAAAAAAGAAATCACTAGTTGATGATTACAGATTGTCCTCTTATGAATAGTTACTCAAGATACTAAAGTGGAGCATATAAAGTGGGGATTCAAACAGTGAGACTGCAATCAGTTCTGTTCAACTGGTTGAACAGAAAAACTTAGAAATGTGGTTATCAATCCTATGCACTTAAACATACATGCTGTTATCCATATCTTCAATTATTTTGAGATTGAACAAACCCAAGCAGGCTAATATCACTCTGAACAAAGAATAATAGTATTGCTGGGTTTTGCATTATGACACTCCAGCATCAGCACTGGGTACTTTAGTGTCTCTCTCTCTCTCTTTTTTTTTTTTTTGTCTTTTTATTTTTTATCGGTACCGGGGATCGAACTCATGACTGTCTGCTTGAAAAGCAGGTGCTTATGCCGCTGAGCTAAATCCCCAGCACTTTAGTGTCTCTTTTTCTTCAAAGTATCTGTTTATTTCATCATGTGTTATGAGATCAGTTCTCATAAACTGTTTATAGATTCTACACATGCATGAGTCTTAACATGTATTTCTATTCTTTCTATATTACAGGGAGAAACAAAACAAAGCAAGACAAAACAAAACATATTCCTATAAACACACATGTAATGAAAAAAACATATAAGATCATCATACAAAGAGTTCTGCCATACTTCCTGTGTTGTCTCTTGTTATCTTCAAAAGAATTGGCTATGTCATCAGACATAGTATAATTGGATATATCAGTACATAACAGTATTAATAAAAACACAACTTTGTATAGAGTATAGAACTTAAAAAGTCGTCTGTCTGTATCTGTGTCTGTGTGTCTGTGTGTCTGTGTGTCTCTCTGCCCTTTCCATCCGTCTTGCAGGTGAGCCACACCAAGAGCTGACCTGCTTTCCCTTGTTTTCAAACGCGGTGAAATCACTTCCTGTTTTTCCCTTTTCGGGCTTCTAAGCTTGGCCACAGAAGCCCAACAAATGTGTCCACGTGAGCCCAGAGCAGGGTAATCTGCAGCCGCTCTGGCCCTCATCTGGCATCCAGTCCACCACCTCTGTGTCAGGATCCCTGGAGGGCCACAGGCACCTCTCGTGGCCGAAGGCACAGGCCTCCCAGACCCTCGTTCCCTGACCTCCTGGGCTGTCTCGGACCTCGGGGTGGGCCCCCCTGGGATTGCAGGAGGGATGGAAGGGCCGGAGAGTCACCAGGAGGTGCTGTGCCCGGTTGCTAGTCCTCAGTGGTGGTATGTCTGGCAAAGGCGCAGTTGGGGGCAAGCAGCGGGGTGTGGTTGCCCTCACGGTGCCCTAGGGCAGGGGCCGTGAGGGCCCAAGTGGGGGCCCAGTGTCTTTCGGGTCCCGAGACCCGTCAGCCCGAAGAAACCTCATGCCGCAACGCAAGGCCCGGCCCTGCTCCGCTCCGCTCCGCTCCGCTCTGCGGCAGGCTGCTGGACCCTAGGCCTCGGAGCTGCTCCGTGGCCTCCATACCCTTCTCAGAGCAGGGTGCCATGCCTTCTCCCGTCCCCCCACCCCCGGAGGCCGGAGGCCGGAGGCTTCCCCTGGTGCTCTGCATGGGCTTTGGCCGGGAGAGCTGCTTTGCCAGGTCTCAGGAGGACGGCCTCTTCGTCCTCCCCCGAGGGCTGCCTGGGCTCCAGCGAGTCCTCCCGTGCCTCTCAGTCCTCAGCGTCCCCTCTGTTGAGGTGACCGTGTTCCTGGTCTCCGGCCAGTCCGGACGTTGCTGGGGCCCACCTGGACGCAGCCCCAGCCCCAGCCCCAGCCTAGCTACCCTAATCCCCGCCGGCCTCTGGGCCTTTGGCCACTGAGGGCCACTCGCTTTGCCTTGCTGGAGGACCCACTTTCCCTGGCTTCAGCCACTTGTGGTTTTGTGGTCTTTCGG